GAAAGCACTGTAAACTTCATTTTAAGGATTTTTACTTAGGGTACCTTGATTTTTGTTAATAACAGTATCTTTAATATTCTTTTTAACACATGGTCAGCAAATTTTGAGGCTTTGAAATTCAAATCAGTCACTGACTTTATAGTGATTTGGTCCATGTTGTTTGTGTGTGTTTTTTTTTAAAGAAATAATGCCACCTCTTATTTTTCACCTGGAAATGTAAGTTTAAAAAAAAAAAAGTATTTTAAGTTGAATAATGTTGATTAACAGGCTGGAGCTGGAGTTGCCCATCGGACCCTGCTGTATGGCCAGGCAGTGATGTTTTTACACTCCTTCAGTGGCATGGTGAGTTTTAACTGATCCTGCCAACACACAGTTGAAACCAAATATTTACACATTTTTGAAAAAACATCCATGTTGATATATAGTTTGACTTTATAATACATTTTTTGTACATTACCTCAGTTAGGATTGGGAAAATGATTTGTACTTTCTAATGTTTTAGACTAGACAAACTTAGACTTTTACAAACTTTATTGTCATTTTGTATGCACAGAGTATATACAAAACGAAATTTCGTTGTATACAGATTAAAACAGTGTATTATTATTACAGTTGTAATAAATAAGCATTATTAATATAAAGTGCAGCAGTAATCAGAATGTAAAAAAAGTAACGAGAAAAAAGAAACCAGTTTAAATAATGGTGCAAATGGGCATTAATATGAAAAACTTTCAGTGCAGTGCAAAAATAAATATGTTGTAAAATACAATAAATATGGTGCAAAATGCAATGTTTTCTGAAATGCCTCATAACAATTTTGTTTTTGTTTCATACATCTTTGAAATATTGATATATACATTTTGATATGCATTTTTTATATTTCCCTTCCAGTATCTTTGCTGCCTGTCTTCATCCCAGACTTCACCTGACAAACTGGCATTTGATGTTGGTCTGCAAGAGAATAAAGCTGGTAAATAATTTATTTATCTACTGTATTCAACCTGATCTGTTTTATTTATCATAGTCCTTTTTGTGGCCCTTAGCTGTGAGTGAAGTGTTTTTTATTTTGAAGTTTCTTCTCATCTAAATTCTGCTCATGGCTCAGGTGAGGCATGTTGGTGGACTGTCCATCCAGCTTCCAGGCAGAGGTCAGAGGGCGAGAAGGTGCGTGTTGGAGATGACCTTATACTGGTTAGTGTGTCCTCTGAGAGATATCTGGTGAGTAAAGGAAGGGGTTTATTTTTTTTATACTGATTTTTTTGTATCGGTTATTGAAGTGTCACCCAGTAACAGAAATAATACAATTAAACATTAGATTTTTGTGTCTATGATGTTTTGTTTAGTCTAAATTGTGTTCTTAGTCTTACTCGTATTCTTGAGAAACTAAAATCTGTTAAATGTACATTGAGTTGAAGCAGAAGCTGCCTTAGTGTCTTCCTGATGAGGTGTTTTGCATAATTGCTTATGATAACAGTTATTGCAGCATAAAAATCAGAGAAAGTTGTGTTTACATCTGATGAGCGCATTTTTCATATTCTCTTTTTTCCCCCCCAGCATCTGTCCTTTGGAACTGTGTCAGACAACCAAAGCCTAAGTGGCAGTTTAATCGTCAGCGCCTCCTTCCAGCAGACTCTGTGGAGTGTTGCTCCCATCTGTTCTGGAGGTGCCATTGCTCAAGGCAAGTTTCCTCTCTTTTTGTTCTCTAAGCATGTTGATAAACATTTTTTTTTTTTTGCATTATAAAGCTCAGCTGTAAAATGTGTTTAAAGAGGCTTTGAATGAAAGCAAGGCAAGACTCTACAATGTAACACTTTATATGAAAAGGAAAGAAATACAATAAAAAGGAAAAAAATAAAAACAAACATAAAAAATATCAAGCACCCTCAGTAAAAATAAACACACATTTTAGATATTAAACTCTCAGTTCTTAGAAAAAAAGAGAAACATTTGTAGAAGACATGAACAAAAGATTATTTAGAAATATAGCATTTAAATTTTACATAAAGTCCAGCCTGTGGTAAAAAGCTCTATAAATGTGGCTGGTTTAGCGTTGGTAGGGTTTTTTGTGTGTTGGTTGTCTTGTTTTTTGTTTCTGAGAGTGTATATGGTTGTCCCTGTATTTTTTAGCTGGTGAGGACAGTTCTCTGGAAATATACTAATTTTGGTGGACTTATAGGTAGGCTTTGCTTTACTTGTGGGGACCAAGGACTGGTCTCCATGAGAAGTTATCCTCTTTTAGAGGCAATTAGGTTTAGGTTTAGGTGTGCATAGCAGTCAAGTCTCTTGTTTTAGCTGTGAAACTACTATATTTCACCACCTTTACCGCCATCCTCTCGTTTTAATTTTCCCGTAAATTTCCTGTTTTAATGTTTTATAAAATTCTGTGGAGCAAAAAAGCAGTATGCGCTGTTTGCGGTGCATAGGCATAACTATAACTCCTGTTTGGAGCAGTGGCGCTGTAAAGGAAGTTAGGGGCTCAATACGGGAACCCAAAGAGGAAGAAGGAGAAAGATTTTGCTGCGGTGAAAAACTTCTCCAAGTTGTTTTAGGTAGACGGTAGGTAAATAAGGCTTAGTAGCTTAAGCTTCTGCGGGGAGGCTTGTATACATTAAAATAAGCTTAAGCTACTAAACGTAAAAGAGTAGGTTACTGTATTAACCAAATTAACCGATAATACCAAAAAATATGATGTTGCTAGGGGTTATTTTATTGTTTAGGCAATTGTCAAATTAAATAGACAGTTAATCATTAAATTTTTGACCAATCATTAAATTGGTCAAAAA